GTTCATGTCTTCTGCCCATTTCTTGACTGGATTATTTGTTCTTTGGGTGTTGAGTTTGATAAGTTCTTTATAGATTTTGGATACTAGCCCTTTATTTGATAAATATATTTATTAATATAAATATATTAAATATATTTATATGTATAAATTTAGATCCACATAAGTATGCTAAACTGATTTTTGACAAAGGTAAGCAAGCAGTTCAGTGGAGGAAGGATAGCCTAGCCGCCCCCCCTTTTTTTTAACAGATTGAAAGTAGTAACAGAGACAGTGGAGTAACTGGAGTAATTACTAGAGTAATTGGTTATCCATAGGCAAAAAAAAAAAAGAGAACGCTTGACCAAAACCGTTCACCTTATACAAAAATTAATTCAAAATGGATCATAGATCTAAAGGAAACTAGAAAACTAGAAAATCTTTAGGACCTAATATTCTCAGACTTGAACTAAAAGCATGATACATAAAAGGAAAACTTGATAAATAGAACCTCAACAAAATTAAGTTTTGCTCTGTGAAAGACCCTGTTAAGAGGATGAAAAGGCAAGTTACAGATTAGGAAAAAATATTTGTGGACCACACAAAGGACTTTTATCTAGAATACATGAAAAGTCTCAAAACTCTACGTTTTAAATAAACAGACTCATTAGGAAATGGGCAAATTATATCAGCAAAAATTTCATCAAAGAGGATATGCAGATGGAAGAAGGCACATGAAAAATTGTTTAACATCATTAGCCAATTAGGGAAATGAAAATTATAACATTATGAAATGAAATACGCATCTATTAGAATGTCTAAAATTGTAGAGGTTTCCTAAAAACATAATAACCTAAAATAATTTTAAGTCCATGTGGCTAAGCTAACAGGACTAAGAAGAACAGAAGAATCTTACCAAGATTTTATATAATCAATCAGAAATTGATTATATAAGATTAATACTAATAATTGTACTTACATTAGCTAACGTTATATAATACTTAGTCTAGATCTAAAAACCTATATTAGCTATAAACTTTGACAATATTACAGGCATTTTACATGATAAATACTTTTTTTTTAAAATACCAGCTTTTATTTGTGATCTACATGGATATATCCTTATGGGGTGAGTTGATTGTGCATGGCATAGTTCTTCAATTGAAAAGTTGATACAAAAACATGAAACATTTTTATTAAAATAACCTCCTAATTCATAATCCTAATTCCTTTATCCTAACATAATTGTTTTCATTTTCCCACTTTATCTTCTAGTCCAACACGTGCTCATTTATTTTTGGCATATTGTAATCACAATCTAAATGCTAATTTATATTCTAAAATGTAGTGTTATTGGCTGAATTTTGTCACTCCCCCAAATTCATATATTGAAGTCCCAATCCCTGAGAATATAACTATATTTGGAGTCAGGGTCCTTAAAGAAATAAATTTAAGTAGGTGGGCTCTAATCTAATATGATTGGTGTTTCTAAAAAAAAAAAAAGAGGAAATTTGGAAACAGACACAGACAGAGGGAAGAGTCTTGAAGACACAGGAAGAAGATGGCCATTTAGAAGCCAAGAAGAAAGGCCTGGAAGAGATCCATCCTTCGTGGCCCTCAGAAGATACCAACCCAGCTGATTCCTTGATCTCAGACTTTTTAGCCTCCAGAACTGTGAAAAAAGCAATCTCTGTTGCTTAAGCTACCCAGTCTGTGGTACTTTGTTACAGCAGCCCTAACAAATTAATAAATATCATGAACCACATAAACATTGCACAATATTATTCAAGATACTTTTAAAAGATTTGCACATTAAAATTTAGGTTTAAAATCAAAGTCCAAAACAGAAACAGTATTCCTAGAAAAGGCATTGTTTAATATTTTCTTGCTGACAAAGTATGTTAATTATTGAATAGCAGATATGAGTGAAATATTTCTTACCCCTCTAATGAGTGGCTTTCTCTTTATGTAATCAAGACTTTTAAGTTCAAATGTTCATAGATTAAGTTTTCTTAAACCAGAGCACACCTATTTTAATAAGAGAAATTTCAGGAAAAAATATTTTTAGTGTAGAATCACCACACTAAAGGTAGAATATTTTAAGTGTATAATTAATTTGCTTCCATTCTCAAAGTAACTTGATTGAATAGCTCTTGAACTTTTAAAATTCAAGTTCTGAATTAGGTTTAGAAATGTAGTCCACATTTTTTGTAAAATTGAAGAAATTGGGGATAGAATAGGCCTATTTGCTTATCCTATTAAAACACACATTGCTTATGTGTTTTTTTTGCCTTATCTAGTCTGACATTAAATAATCTGGGGCTCAAAATGCTTGCCTATGAAGTGAAGGTAAGGTAAGACAAAAAAAATACTCAGGATATTCAACTAGTATATCAGAAACTATTTAGAAGTTTTGCTCGATAATGACTTTACTCATTTGGTAACTATCTGTTGAGCTCCTGTTATTTCTAGGACATCATTGGTAATAATTATGGGTGGAATAAAAATTAAGATATTATCTCTGACCTAAAATAACTTATGGTCTAATAGTAGATCATACGTATACATATGATCAGTGCAGTAAAAAATGGTGTAAATTAGAGCAAGTTCTAGGAAGATCTAAGTCACTTCCAGATTGGGTCAGAAAAGATTTCCAGGCCGTGGTAGCATGTGGGCAGTGGCAGGCCAAATGAATGAGGTTAGGAGGACCTTCTCCATGGGGGTGCTGAGACAGGGAAAACACAAGGTGGGTACAATGACCAGAATAGGTTAACCTGGTGGAGATCATAACTTCTGAACTCCAAATTGGGACACATGACTGACAGATATGAAGTTGTAGAATGATGAGTGTAGGATTGAATATTTGACAGTAGGATTGCCAAACAAGAAGGGATGCGTAATTTGCCAAGGGTGAGTTAATTCTCTCCTAATTCATTGAGTTTACTCTCCTAATTCCATGACAGAAACACAGCTCCCGTTAGTTTGGAAATCTTGCTGTACTTCTCCATGTGTTAGAATATATTTCACAAATAAATTTGTATTGCAGATTCTTATTCTTTTAATGTCAGAAAGTCATGTTGACATGAGTAGTTATTTTAGAGACAGATAGTAGTGTACACTTACAGAGTCAGCCTGCTAACCTAAGCAGTATCATTCTGGCAAATGAAAAATAGGTGATAGCATGTGCAGGCTCCTCTGCAGTGTCATTTTGACTTAAACATAGACAGATATGATTAGGATATGATACAATTTATTCAGCACAAGGAGCCACCTTTATGGATACAGAAATACCCAAGACTCTTTAGGCGTGAAGAAAAACCGCAACCTCCATATTTTTTAAAACTCTCTTCTTTTAAAATTTTATGCACTAGTGTGTTATCTGTTTTCCTTGTACAAATGGGTACATATCCATAAGTATTTAGAAGCATATAGTTATTCCTAGGAAAAAGATTTCCATGTAAAGTAATCATTGGAATATAGTAGAACCTTACTTATTTGGTCTCTGTCAGTTTATTTATCCAGGTTTTCCTTTTTTTAAAAAAAGATTTTATTTACTTGAGACAGAGAGCACGAGTGGGGTGAGGGGCAGAGGGAGAAGCAGACTCGCCATTGAGCAGGGAACCCAATGTGGGGCTCGATCCTAGGACGCCAGGATCATGACCTGAGCTGAAGGTAGACACTTAACTGACTGAGCCACCCAGGCACCCCACCAGGTTTTCCATTTTGAGCAATAATTAAAAGTGAAGAAGATGCTAGACCCCTTGTCCTCATGCCCTAGATCTGTCTTAAAGGTCATGTTTTCTTCCAGACATACTCTTCACCCACAGAAAGACATTTTGCTTTTCTCTCCTTGGACCACATTTGTAATCCTAATCATCACCATCCTTTAAGGCATGTGCTCTTCCCTGTGCTCTGTCTAGCCTACCACTTTACTTCTCCTGTAACGACTTACCAGCCATGTTGCCTCTGCTGCCATGTCTGTTTTATGGATCTCTGATTCTGGTTTTCATTCGCCCCTGTGGCTGCTATTTCTGCTGTGGTGGCTCCAAGTCCAAGACAAACTCCTCTGATACCCAGTCACGTGCTAAACCCATCACATGGCCCAGGATAAGCTAACCAAGGAAGGGGATTCCAAGTGAACTATCTGAAAAAGCAGACTATCCAGATTTGCACGTAGATCATATCCTCATCAATTCAAATTAATTGTGGTTGTACAAATTTTATGGTATTTTATCATTATTGTTTGGTTCTTTAAATGTTTTAATACTGGTTTAAGACAGTAGTGAAGAGACTGATTAAGGGAGAGCTTGATAATTATTCTGAAGGATAGTATGCTCCATGCATTTCTCACAAAATTATATAAAATTAGCACATTTAAATATACATAATGCTATGAAGGCATATTTTTATTAAGCTTAATCTAAGTAGATAGAATAATGACAAGTGATTGCTATAATGAAATTCTGGTCTCATTTTGAGGCCACAGAGTATTATTAGAATCATTAAGGTATATTAACTAATATTTTCTGCCCATAAATTTATTAGTTTTAGACACTGCATCATTTTATTTCTCTCCATCCCTGCTGCCTTTCTTCATAATTTGTATAGAATGTACCCTAGTTACTCTCCTAGAAATGCCACCCAACCAGCTCATGCTAGCACATTTAAATTTACTTTTCTGAATCATGTTGTCAAGAAAACAATTTAATTTCAATAAAACTCAGAACATTATGCAGATATTGTGTTCATTTATGTGAATATTTGAAAAGCAAGATGGATTGCCATTTAATACAATTTAAAGGCTAAACTAAAAGTTTTCATACATCATTTAGCAATATAATTGTTTTTCTTATTTTTTCAGAATAACTACTAAACTTAAATTTTTTTGGTTAGGTGTCATTATGCTGACACAGAAGTCATCTTAACTCTCAACTATTAATTTTCTAAAAGGAAATAATCATTCTATGGGGAAATGATTTATGATTCAATTTTGTCTATTTGTAAACTTTACATTTTCCTTACAGAAATAGAGATACTAAAGAAAAGTTTGACAGTGTCCCAGAGAAATAAGATATGCCTTGAAGAGGAAATGAAAAATCTGAAATTGTTGTCAGATGCAGCCATGTTGAGGTCTCAGCAGATTCAGACATCCAAACAACAGGAAGTAAACTTGCAAACCAGATGCTATGACTTGCAAAAAGAAGTACTAGGTAAAAGAGAATTATTTTTTGCTGCTGTTAGCAACTAGCCATAATAAAATCTTGCTTTAATTAGTTTGTGTTACAAATATGCCTGATTATTAGTGACTATGTCAATAACTGTGTCTGTGATCAGTGTTTACTATCTTCCCTTCCCATTCTGCTATTTAGAGTGATGAGACTTAAGTGAATATACTCTTTCATTTTCCCAAATGAAAATATTACAAATTGTGTTTTGGGCACCTTGGGCAAAGTTTTAAAAATTTCTACCTCAGATGAATTAAGTGTCTTGGCACTAAGGCTATGGAATTTGTACTTTTCCCTAGAGGCAGTAGGAATCGTTGAAAATTGGTAATCTGGAGAATGATATAATACAAGCAGTGTTTTAGCAAAAATGAGCTATTAGCAGTGATTGGAGGTGTTCCAAACATCAAGCAATTGGATCCAAGTAGCCATTTAGAAACTATCTTTGCTGGTAACCCAGGCCTAGACTAACTGTAAGAAACTGAAGTAGAAAGGGAACTAACATATTTTAGGTCCTAATGTGCACTGTATTTAAATTACTTCTGTCAATTCCCACAGTGACCATGAAAAACAGGTATAATTATCCCATCTTGCAGAGGAGAGAAAATAGCCTAGAAAGGTTAACATGCCTGTTTTCACATAGCTGGTAAATGGCAGGGAGTGAAAGCAAACCTAGTCAGATTGCAGGACTCATGCTTGTCCCAGTATGTCGCCTTGGTCCTCTTTATGGCCACAATGGGAAAGCTAAGACAGAATCAGGATTGAGCAGACTACTCAGGACTAGGGAGATAAACACCTGACTGAGTAGCCAGGGAGAGAAGGAAGTCACAGATGACTTCTGAACCTCTTTTCTTGGGAGTGGGAACATACCACAGACTAGGAAATCTGGAAAGAAACTGGTATTGGAATGGAAAATAGGATTCATTACATGAACTTGGAGCAGATACCAGACATTTTAATTTTCCCTTCTGTGGATTGCCTATTTATAGATTTTGCCAATTTTCTATTGCGTTACTGGAATTTTCCTTGATAATTTTTAAAAGCAGTTTATAAGTATAGTAATTATTTATATTCTTTTTTTTCTAACATATAATTTGTTGACTTTTTATGGTAAATTTCACCATATCAAAGTTTTTCATTTTGTTATGATCAAATTACTGTCTTTTATTATTTTGGGTTAGTTTTGGTTAAAATAGTGCCTCCCATCCTTAAATTGCACAGATAGTCTCCTGAGTTTTCCTACATTTAAGTCATTAATACAGGTAAGATTTATTTTTTATATGGTGTGAGATGTGGGGATCTAGTTTTATTCTTTCCAAATGGATAACCAGTTGTATCAGTATTATGTATTAAATAATCCATCCTTTCCACTGAATAGAACTATCATCTGTCATATGTTAAAATTTTATGTATGCTAGCATTGATTACTATGTTCTGTCTTCTGTTCCACTGATTTATTTAATATACCACTGATACATATTCATTTGAATATAGTGATGTAATAGCATATTCTCAAAGCTGGTAAGTCTTTTCTCTCTCCGCTGTTCTTTTTAAATATATATTTGGAGGAGTTATTCTTTCATTTGAACTTTTTAAGATCTTTTATTTACTTCTAATCCAAAGACTCTAAATAGGTACCTAGTAAAGTTTTTCTCTACATATTCATAAGCAGTTATTCTTCCACATAAACATTAAGGTAATTCATTTAATTCTAATCCTAACAGGGATTCTAGCTGGAATTGCATTATATTTATATAGTAAATTTTGGAGAATTGACATTTTAGTGGTAGTAAGTCTTTTTAATATTATCAAAGTCTTCTCATTCAAGAATATAATATGTCCTTTCATTTCTTTAAATTTGTTTTCAAATGATTTCATAGTTTTATTTGAATATGTTTCTTTGTCATTCTTGTTAAGTTTATGACTATCATGGTTTTGCATCTACTATAAATGGACTATTTTCTCTATTTCAGCTTCTTGATATTTGTTTTTGTTTTTGGATTTTTTTGGTGCAAAAAAGTGTTTTTATTATAGTACAGGGACACGACCATGGGCAGAAAGAGCTGCACTGGGATTGTGAGGACAAACGGGTTATATACCCTTTAGTTAATGGGAGTTAGGGATAGTCTCTAAGGAATTTGTGCATGTTAAAAGCAAGGTCTCCAGGATCTTGGAGGGCTAGCTATTATTAAGATAAGGTTGCTTTTAGTCTTCAATGAAACATCAACAGTACGGCAGCCATGAATTCCTTGAGGAATGTCACACTCTGCATGTCTCGGATTTATCAGTGACCTGCAAGTTGTAAGGAGACTATTTTAGCTGCATTTCTCTTGCCTTTGTTCTCCTCATCATTTATCCCCTGAACAGTTTTGATTTAAATTTTTAAGGTTGCTGAGGGCGAAAGGTTTTATCTTCTGTAACTTTTCCCTGATGAATAGGGGCGTAGAGATGTCCCTACCTCGGGGTCAACATTAGTCAGTTGGGGATGTAGGCGTTATGAAAGGCAGAGACAGCTGAATCCAAGGTAGACAACATATATGAAATCTCCTTGAGTAGAAAGGGTCATCTGTCAGCTTGATCTTATGACAGTGAAGGAGTCTTGGCACCAGGTGGAGAAACATTGGAAAAAAACAGCGAAATGTGATTAAAATTATTATGAGAAAAAGAAGCCCAATAAAGAGACCTTTGATAGTTGGCTAAAATCCTCCTCCAGTCCAGGAATTTATCCAATCTTGAAAGGGAGGGATTGTTTAAAATGCCAATTTTAATATTTATATCTTTTAGCAATTCTGTTACATTTTTGTGATAATCTGTAATATATACATAGCATTCTGTTTTTATGATGGCACGTGTTCACCCTGTGCAGCAGTTAAAATATCTAATGCCATTTTATTTTGGAGAACTGCTTTATGAATGAGTTATTTCAGTGTTTAATAATGTAATGCTATTTTGAGAGTCACTTAAGGCCTTAATTGTGGAGCAGGTGGTGTTAGCCATCATATAGCTGGTAAATGGCAGGTAAATGTAAACATACATCATTGTTTAGCAAGCAATCAGATAACAAGAGGCACTTTTATGGAAACAAAAGAAAAATATAAGTTCGTGGTTGGAGCAAATTACAAACCCAGTGTCTGAGTCTCCAGTACTGCCAGAGAGATTTCCAGATCTCAGGTTTGAAGCATCCTCAGACAGACTGGGATCAGGCCATGGGAATCAGATGAATTTTTCTGGTTTGTAATTTAAATGTCTCTGGTGATCCTTTTGAATGGCCCGTAGTGCAACAGGCACAAAGATTGTCTATACATGAGTTTTGTGGCAGTTTCTTTGAAGCTACCCTCAAGTTGTCCAGCATCAGTTTTCAGGGCTTTAGGAAGAAGAGCAGTTTTAATTAAGAGGATGGAAGAAGATTGGAAATCTTGGTATTTGTTGATAGAATAAAGAAAGACTATTGGTTTTTGTGTATTTGTCTTATATCCATCGACTTTATAAAATCCTCATATTAATTCTAGTAGTTTTTTACTAGTATCTCTTGGATTTTCTACAGTTATATCACCTGCTCCAACACCCCTGAAAAAGAGTTCATCTATTTTTTCCAGGGTTTATATCTGTTATTTTATTTTCTTGTCTTGTTCATATCTTTTTAAGTTCATTTGAACTGAAACTGTGTTAAATAATAATGATGACATTGAGCATCCACATCTACTTCCTGATTTTAATTGAAATTATTTGGTGTTTTGTCACTTGGGATTATATTTGATGTTTTTGGTAAATATTTATTTTTAATTAACCGTTTTACTTCTATTCCAATTTTACTTAGATGTTTTATGTGAAATGCTTTTGGATTTTGTTAAATGCCTTTCAGCATCTATTGATATAATAGTATTTTTTCCCCTTTAACTAACTGGTAAAATGGATTAGTATTATTGAATTCCCTGAATTTCTTTGGTCTCTTGGAATAAGCCCTACATCATTTACTTTTTAAATATATCATTTCCTACATGGTTATATTTTATTTATAAATTTGGTACATGTATATTAATAAGTGAGATTGGTTTATAAATGTTTCTTTATTAGGGGGCACTAATTTTATCAGAGTTTTGCATTAAAATTAAGTGAATATCATAAGTGCTCTTATTTTTAAATATTTCCTCTATCTGTGGCTAGGCCTGGTTTCTGATTTTTAATCTTGTCTATTTTTGCTTTATCTTTTATTATTTATCAAGCTTGCGAAGCCTTTGTTTTTTTAGTCTTTTCAAAGAACTAGCCTTTGTATTTTTTTTATGCTTTCCATTACTTTTATTTTCCATAACATTAACTTTTTGCTTCTATATTTATTAATTTCCTATCCCTAGTTTCTTTTTGTTTTGTTTGTATGTTTTTATTTTTCAGACTTCTGAAGGGAGTACTTAGTTCTTTTATTTCTCATCCTTTTTTGTTTAATAATAGAGACATTTAAGGGAATAAGTTTTCCCTTGAGTAAAATTTTCTCTGTCATATTTTTAATATGAATTATTCTCCTTTTCAGTGCTATCTAAATACTCTAATTTCTAATTTTTTTCTTTGGTGAAAGGGTTATCTAGGAGTATATTTCTTAATTTCTCAATAGTTAATTATTTGGGGAAGGAGTTACTTATTATTTATTTAATGTGGGGGTATTCTGACTAAATGTGACTTATAATACCTTTTTGAATTTGTTAAGCTTTCCTTTATGTTGTGTACATGATCAGGGTTATAAATGTTCCTTAGAAATACAAAATGTAATTCTCAGCTTGATGGATATAAGTGTATCTCAGCTAAGTGTAAGATTCTTGGGTTCTTTCCTCTCAGTAGACTATAGATGCTCTGACTTCTAGCTTTTAGTAATGCAAATGAGAAGTCTACTGTAGCTCTGATCCTTTTTCCTTTAGAGGTAACTCATTCTTTTTCCTGAAAGCTTTTGTTAGATTTTTCTTTCTCTGGTTTTTTCTCTTTTTTTCCATTGGGCCTCA